TTTGTGGCATATATATTTATTGGCTGATGAGTAATGGGTAAAGGAAAATGGTTTTTGGTGTTCTCATTACAAATTAATAAGGGAAAATTAAGCAGAAATGCAGAAAACAAGCTAGAAAGGAGGTTAGCTCGGTGAGAGCAAGCCACTCATGCTCATTTCCAGTTGTGGGCAACAATGTCAGCCAAATCAACAACCCGTTGAGAGTAACCCCACTCGTTGTCATACCAAGCAATAACCTTCACCAAGTCATCACCCATAACCATAGTCAAGGAAGAGTCGACGGTTGAGGAGACATCAGAGCACCTAAAATCGACCGAAACAAGGGGCTCGTCACAAACAGAGAGGATGCCGTTGAGCTCCTTCTCAGCACTTTCCCGGAATGCTGCATTCACCTCTTCAGCAAAGGTCTTCTTAGAAACCTGGACAACAAGGTCTACAACAGAAACATTTGGAGTGGGCACACGAAGTGCAATCCCATTGAGTTTTCCTTTAAGAGAAGGGAGGACTAGAGCAACAGCTTTGGCTGCTCCTGTGGAGGTAGGAACAATGTTGAGTGCAGCAGCTCTTGCCCTTCTGAGGTCACGGTGGCTGGCATCAAGTAGCCTCTGGTCACCAGTGTAGGAGTGAGTGGTAGTCATTGTTCCCTTGATGATACCTGCCATAGATTTATACCAAAACTTTCACAAACCTGAATTTTAGCACCTGAATTTGCAAGGGCCTAGAAATGTAAGTGCTATTGATGAATCTATGCTGGAATTCAGTATGTATTACCAAACTTCTGGTCAAGGACCTTGACAAAAGGAGCTAGGCAATTGGTAGTGCAAGAAGCATTGCTGATGATAGGCTCATCAGGGCTGTAAGCGTCGGCATTAACCCCAATGACGTAGGTCGGTATGTCACCCTTCCCAGGTGCTGTAATTAGGACCTTCTTTGCTCCAGCCTGAATGTGCTTCCCTGCACCCTCTCTATCAACAAACACCCCAGTTCCTTCAATCACCAAGTCTATTCCCAAGTCCCTGCATTGTCATTTATCTAATCATTCAATTTTTTTTTTTTAATCTCATACAGATAACGAATGAAAAGTAGAAGCATAGAAGTTGAACACCCACTTCCAGGGAAGGTTGAGAGGGTTGCGGTTGGAGACCACCTGGATGATCTTGCCATCAACTGAAATAGCTTCATCTCCGGCAGGTTTGACATCGGCATCAAAGATGCCGAGGGTGGAGTCGTACTTGAGGAGGTGAGAAGCTTGCTTGACGCCGCCAGAATCGTTGATGGCAATGACATCAAGTGGGGAATCCTTGCGACCATGCCAGCACCTCAAGAAATTCCTGCCAATCCTTCCAAACCCATTGATGGCTACCTTAAGCTTTGCTTCCACAATCCCTTTCTTATACCCTCCGCTACTTCCCACCTTCAAGAATTTAAAATGGATGTAGGTAAGGCATATGAAGAACCATTAGTGTAGTATGAATATTCACTTCTATATAACCCCCTCATGCTATCTCAGATATGAAACCATAGACCATAGTACGTGCTAGAAGAAGCTTATAGACGAAAAATAAAATGAAGCGGAGTATATTCAGTGGTCCAAATAGAACTTTCCAAAGAAATAGCTTAGTAGCCACGTTAGCTGCACTTGGGATGATTTTAGGGGCAGTGTATTTCCTTTCGATTAGGGGCAGTGTATTCCGTTTCGCTATATAATCGTGTGGTTTCTGGAAATTTATGATAAATCAAATTGAAGCCAAATTAGGCTTTGCTGTTGATCAATCAACAGCCTAAATCTACTACCTCTCTCCCAAAAACAGACCTAACCATCAATCAAGATTTTGTTCCTTAAGATGAACACAATTGACAGAAGCCATGAATGTTATTTCTAACATGTTCACTCATGTAACCATAGTACAACTTTTGCTACATCCCATGACTCAATGTAGATTGCTGCAGCATCATTCAAATCCGATACATAACTTTTCATTGAAGAAATGAAAAGGGAAGAAACCATGACAAACTTTTAAGAAGAGAGAACTCACAGCAGAGGTCTGGAAGGCAATGACGGAAAGGAAGTCATCGGAGGTTCGCCTAGCAAACGGGAGGCAGGTCGACGAGTTGCGGAGGCCAGAGAATTCTCCAAATCCCTTTCCAGTAGCCTGCAATGCAAGAGAATGCAACAATGTTCTCAGATGAAAAACAGGAAGAGATTAAAGAAGGGGCGAGAAAGGAAGAGTGCAAGCAATGCAGGAACCTGGAGAGATGGTTTGGCTACTGAGAGAGTAGCCGTAGCCATGGTTGAGGGGCGATGAGAAGAGCAAAATGGGGGAAAGCAGAAGCAGAAGCTTGAAGCAGTAGAAGAGAGATGGGAAATTGAGAAGGGTGAGAGTGTATATAATAAATATGTATTTGGATGAATGGCTTTGAATGAATGAGGAAGGCTGAACAGAGGATGAGATAATGGATAGAGCCTCTCACTCAACGAATGGCTGTGGTTGTTCTATTCTCTGCATCTTCTTCTACTACTGTCTGGTTTGTGATACTGTTTTCTTCACCCCTCTCCCTTCCCCCACCGATTATAAATGCCAAACTCATTATGGCCTCAAACTCCTCTCCTTTTTGTTCTTAGTTGTTTTTATTCTTTTTATTCTTTTTATTCAGAGTCCAAGCACCAGAAGTTTGTCATCCCAGCAAAATACCAACTTCAAATATTACCCAATACACAATTTTCGTCGAATTATCTTACTTTAACGTCTCGATATGTCTAGATTTTGAATTTTTTCATTCCTTATCCTTGAACTTTGATTTTTTTTTTTTTTTTTTTTTTTAAATACAGTTGAAGGGTTCATTATCTTAGAGAAAAAACAAGATAGAAATTTGAACCGGCGGTTGATTTATAAAAATTAAAATATCATACCCAACATTGTTCATTTGAATTGATGTGAAAATTGATTGGGTAAGTGATTTTTATGATATCTTTTTAAATAAAAATTAATTTTATTTTCTATAGTTGGAAATAAATTTTAAAGTTTGAATAATAAAAATAAAACTTTTAGAAGTCCAAGTATTTTATATAATTTGTCCAATAATTTTTAAAATTAAAATGTGGGCCATGGGGAGGATGATTTTAGCCACATAATCCTTTACACATTGAGAGTGTATGTACCAATATTCAATACACATTATGCAAAAACCTAAGTTTTTGCCTTTGAAATTCTGAAAATATCTTAGATATTATGTGGCAAAATTATAATTTCTTTCGTTTAATATTTGTACCTTTTAAACAATATCAATAAAATTAAAAATAATAACTTTAAACTAAGAAAAAAAATCAAAACAAAAGTAAAACTTGGTTTCAAAAGACAGGAAGCTACAAAAATTAATAAAACTAGCTTGAATAATTTACTGTAAATTGAAGAAAAAAAAATATGTATGATCTTTTAAATAGTTAGTAGTATAAGAAGTTCGATAGATTTATGTTTAGCAGCAAACTCGGAGGATCGGAAAGATTATTGTTACTACGCAAAATACTCGAACCAAACCATCCATTTATGATATTATTTGTTATCTGTAGGGGGTAGCAAACAATAAACTAAAAGGCTAAGAAGAATAAGTTTGATATGAAAAGACTTAAAATGCTACCATTTCAATCCTTGCAAAGGAAAGAAAAAAAATGAAAAATTGACTTCATTTGGAGCATCCCTAAATAGATCTTCTCCCTAGCCAAGGATACCTGCATTATTCTCATAATTTGATCAATGTACATTACAGAGGCAAATCTCCGTGGCTTTTGTATGCAAACAATACATTTTAATCTATGAAGAACAACATAGCTTCATTATAAGCAATCTTCCTGAAAGTGCAACATGTACTAAGGTGCAGCTATAAGACAAGGCTAAACCTGGATTAGGTATGATATGGATGGTCCACATTACCTAATACCTTAGAAAATAATATCAGCAAGCATGACAATTCAAATATAAAAAGCAATATTCAATACAAGATCATACAAAATTCCAAGTGTTTTGACGTCAAAGATATAGAAAAGTCATAAGCAATAAAACGAATGGGCTAACCTGCTTGGATTCTAGTTTCTGATTCAATTTTCAGAGTGGGATCCGGGAAGTAAGAGCAACAGAACACAGAAGTCCACACACGACACTTCAGGGAGGAAGCACTACCAATGGTTGATAGGTTGGTACAGGAAAGACTCGAGAGTATGCCACACATAAACAAGGCTTCCTTTTCATTTTTGTTTTTCAATTATAAGCCCTTCTATTTTTTTTCTTTAACAAGAGACAAAAACTTTCATTGAAGACATGAAAAGAGACTAATGCTCTCAAAGATACAAACTCTCCACAAGGGAGTGAAAACTTGAACGTAAAGGAACATAAAAAGAACCAAAAGGATAAAAGATGCAGAAAATAGCTTCCACAACGAGAAACACTAAGCGAATTGAACAAAAGTTACAATAGAGAGAGCCTAAATGATCAAATCAACACAAAAGATCACACTCTGAAAACTAAACCAAAGACGATACTTGAGTACCAAAAGCCTTGAAAAAAACAGAAAGACTCAAAGATTTGAACCCCAACAACCAAAACAAAAGGCCAACGAGGAGAAAAGCAGGACTACCTCCCCCTCCCCCTCCCCCTCCCCCAAACATGAAGCAAGAACTACTGAACCCATACCGCAAACGCAATATAGCAATCAAACTTTAAACAACAAATGCCTTGGGAATTGAATGGAGAAATTTCACACATCTCAAGACCACAAGCCTCAATAAGAGAAGCAAATTTCTTAGGTACTGATGAAGGAAGACAATGAGGAATCTCTGTCACTTTCTTGAAATAATGATACTAAATCATCACCAAAAGAATCTTTTGTAACAGTATCATCAACAATAGTTTCCATAAGCTTAAAGCAGATACCAAACTACTTAACTAACTTAAGATGCAGCATCACAATCATAAACATAATGTGAGAGAAGGAGAAGTAGTGGAATCTTTGAAAAATGAAATACTTGTTCAGTGAAAACACCATCATAATCTAATATAATAAAATCTTGTTGACTACAAATCTAAGAAACATCTTTCTTGGCGGAAAGAGCCAAAATGCTAGAAACATTTTTCTTCAATACAATTTGGACTCGAAGTATTATCCTGGTGATGGGAGGAATTGAAGAATTATAGAACTTTCTTCAAGTGTCGTACTAGGGATTAGTTGCAATAAAATCAATAATGAAGAGGTTAGTTCGTGATTTTAATCCAACCTCCATAAACTTTGATGAATGTTGGTTTACTATGTTTGCTAAGGTCCCATTTTTTAATCTTCAAATGGAAATGACCAATATTTGACCAACGACTCAATGGATCAAGGCCAACTAACAGAATAGTATGATCCAATTGAAGTAAAGTTTTATCATCCATAAAAGGTAGACTTCAATGCCTTTCTAAATATCTTTTCAATCATCATGCACAGTGAATCGAGAAACCACCAACAAAGAATTCCAGTTTAAATTAGCAACTTCTTTATCTTCCACACCAAGAAAGAGGATTGGGAGATGGAGGGCTTTGGACAAAACAAATCAACAATCAATGGAGAAGGAGGAGGAGGGTTGAATGAATTCACAATGTTCACGAAGGAATTAGAGTTGCATTTCAAAGTTTGAGAATCCTTCATGCCAAGCTTCTTAAATTTCATGATCTAATCTCTCAACATATCCCAATAAGTAAGTCAACCCCACTTTATAAAGCCACAAAGAATACTAATCACCTTCCTTCCACCAGATATTGGCCATACAATGCAATCGACAATTGCTCTTGAAGAAAACCAATGCAGTCGACAACCCCACTTTATAAAACCACAAATTTTTTGCCTCACTTAGAGAGGCAAACAAGCGGAACAATGGCATCTAGAATGCCTACACATTATTCCTCACCATTGGTTAATGTTAAAATTGGTTGATGATAAACTTACATGCCATATTACTCAATGAATTGATTGTTGGTATTTATATAAGGGGAAACAATTATCAAAGAGAAGAAAACTTGAAATTTCAACCGTCTTGGAACTTATTGAGACATTAGCAACTTTATTCTTTCATATAACCTTTTCCCTCCTCTAAACTTCTGTCAATTCACTAAGTACTAAGTCATGTAAGTTTATTATAGGCCAATTTAACATTCATCAACAATGAGGTCATGTATTTCAATCAGTGGACTTAATTCTCATCAAATTTCTCCCTAGTCCAGAACAGGAATTCTGCACACTTCAAATCCAAGAGAAAACCTATTTATTTTCCATCCTCGAGAATGAAGGAATGCACAAAATTTTCATACTCCATAATTGTTCAATAATATTTATCAGCACAACACCAACAGGGAGTCATACACTTCCAAATGTCATATCACTCAATTCAACGTCAAGTTGAGCGAATGCACTCTCAAGGATAAATCTAACCTCGAGTGTTAAATCAAGTTTCAATCAAAACAAAACAAAATTTAGAAAACTGAACGTTCAATCCTTATGGCATTAAAGAAACAAATCATTCCATAGATGTAACTTGCGACATACGGAGAGGTTTATATACAAAGCCCTATAAATATGAGATAGAGAAAATTAAATATGCATCTTTAGTAGGTTGTGTACGTCTTAAAGGATGAATTGGAGACATTAACTAGCCCAACAAAGTTACACATGATAGTTCTCAAACATGACTATCTGTGAAGATAAAGAACACAAAGCTAGATGTCGCTGCATATACAAGAAGGAAGTTTGGTTACAAGAATAGAGTGCAAACAGCTCTAGGTAAAATATGGCTAGATCAATCATTCGACATTCTAAGAGCAGGGATGAACAACGATTAGTAGCATGATCAAAGTGTTGTTGCCAAAAGAAATGGGAGGAACATGCCAGAACAAGTAAGCTCCTATATGAGTTACTACTTGAAAAGGTACATGGAATTACTCACATGCATCATACCCTTAGAATCTGAAGCTTAGTCGAAAAGGCAATCGCAACCCAGTCCGGCTGGGAAGAGGACCATTGCAGCTGCTCGATTTCTGCTCCAGCTGTATATGCAAGAATGGGATCGAGGCCACCTTCGACGGGTTGCCCCATGGACGACAAGTCCCAAATCAAGGCCTGAGAATCATCCCCGGCGGTGCAGATGTGGCAAGAACTATGCGGCGCCCAAGCAATAGCGTTGACACTAGCTTGGTGTCTCTGTAACTCGACGACGGGGAGTGTTGGGAAGCGAATGTCAAGAACGACGACCTTGGCGCTGTCCATGATAATTGTAGCCATATATCTAGGGTCCTGCTTGTTCCAGCCTAGTCGAACCAAGGGAGTGTCAGGCTCGGAGCTCTCGTAGATGATGGTAGAGTGCTCCTTGTCGCGCAAATCGAATACCCGGACAGAACCGTCGGCAGAAACGGAAGCAAATACACCAACGCCACCCCAGGCGATGTCGTAGACTTCCTTATCATGGGCGATAAGTTGCGTATCAACGGTCTCCCGCTCAATATCCCAGATGGTGCAGGTAGTATCGATACTGGAGGTTCCAATACGCTTGGGCTCGGCATCGTTCCAGTCAAAGGAGGTAAGAGGACCACAAAACTCGCTGTTCTTGTTGCCATTAAGAAGGCTCTTGAGCTCCACAGAAGAAGAGTCATCCGAGATGCGCCAAACACGGAGAAAGTCGCTGGAAGTAGCGAGAAGATCAGGGCGCTGGCACTCCTTATCGGGGATGAAGATGGTCTTGGTAGGAGGATAGGGATGCTCGAAAGAAAGATTAGGGTCAGAGCGAATCTCACCACTGGAATCATCGAGTTGGACAATCTCGACACGGTTGGGATACTGCTCGAGAAGGCTAGCAATGGCGAGGCGGTACTTCTTGTCACGACGGACGCTCCAGTTCATGGCGTAGATGTGCCATGGCGCCTCGTAGGTATAGATCTCAGACCGCTTCTGCTGCTCGTCGGAAGCATCCGGATTGGTGTCGCTGTTTGCACCCATCGGCTTCTCTCTGGAATGCGTTCTTCAATGGATGCAAGGGAAAGATCTTGTTCACAGAGGCCCGTATGAATGATCGGAACGAACAGGTCAATCCAAGATTGGACTGCGACGAACAAGGTGTTTGCGGGAACATCAAACTTTGAAAACTAAAGCTGTGCAGTAACCCTTAACAAAATTTGTATTATCCATAGTATGTTGGTACGTGGTTGGCTCGTTATCGTCTTTAGCCTCACGGTTTTAAAATGCGTCTACTAGAGAGACGTTTCCACACCCTTATAAAAAAATGTTTCGTTCCCGTCTCCACCTGATGTGAGATCTCACAATTCACCCCCTTGCCCTCGCGTCTACGAGGAAGAGATTTCCACACTCTTATAAGAAATGTTTCGTTCCTGTCTCCACCCGATGTGAGATCTCACAATCCACTCCCCTTGCCCTCGTGTTTACGAGGAAGAGGTTTTCACACCCTTATAAGAAATGTTTCGTTCCCCTCTCCACCCGACATAGGATCTCACGATTCACCCCCCTTGGCCTCGTGTCTACGAGGAAGAGGTTTCCACACCCTTATAAGGAATATTTTGTTCCCCTCTCCACCCGACATAGGATCTCACGATTCACCCCCCTTGGCCTCGTGTCTACGAGGAAGAGGTTTCCACACCCTTATAAAAAATGTTTCGTTCCCCTTTCACCCGACGTGAGATCTCACAATCCCCCCTTAACCCTGTGTCTACGAGGAAGAGGTTTCCACACACTTCTAATGAATATTTTGGTCCCCTCTCCCCTCGACGTGAGATCTCACAATCCACTCCCCTCGGACTCAACATGTCTACAAGAAAAAAGTTTCCACATTCTTATAAGTAATGTTTCATTCCCATCTCCACCCGATGTGGAATCTCACAATCCACCCCATTGGGGGCCCAACGTTCTCGTAAACACAACCTGATGTCTAACTCTAATGCCATTCGTAACACCCAAAACCTACTGTAACATAAATTGTTCATTTTGACCCGTTACATACCACCGTCACCCTCACAATTTTAAAACTCATCTTCTAACGAGATGTTTCCACACTCTTATAAAAAAATATTTCGTTCTCCTCTCTACTCGATGTGGGATCTCACAGATAGTCTCATCTCCCTCTTTTCATTGATTTCTTAAAATCTTCGTTACTTCCCATCTTCCATTACCCAATACGCTAAATTGCTCGTTTAAAACGAAATATGTAAATTAATTTGGTCAGAAGGATTTAATAGGGGAAATGCTAATGGAATTTTGAAACCCATATTAATATATTTCAATTAAATTTACAATTACTAACAATACATTAAAATTAATTATGTTAATAACGCTAAATAAATTATTATTTACTTAATTATACCCATAAATAAATTATTATTTACTTAATTATACCCATTATTCTAAAAATATTTATAATTACATAATTAATAATTTATTTTTCACTGTAATCAATTATTTTTAAACATCGTAAACAAAACCTTCAATCAAAAGCCCAAATTCGAGAGGTCTAACTTAAAAAACGAGAACTCAATTTGATGAACACAACGATTGGACTTGCAAGCAAAACTAGTGTTGGGCTTGCAAGCGCATTCGTGAATATCTCACAAAACAAAAAAAACGCTATTCGTCGGTTTAGTTTAATATTTCACGAAATATACCTAAGAATAAGATGTGTCTGATAATACGAGAATCAAATATAAACCTACTTTTGCTATGCATAAAAAATATTATCAGATCGATATATTTATTTGTTCGAAGGTATTAACTCGAGAAATTTAATATAATTAGACAGAGTTAAAAATTCACGGACTAAATAAAACTAAAATGTATAGTCCCACGACCACGTGTAAAGGGTTGGCAATATTTATTATATCTTTATCTTTGTTCGAGTTTAATAATTACGAGATAGAAATTTAAAATTTTAATATTTTAAGATAAGGTACGTGACAAATATAAATATAATTTAACGTAAAAATAATGTTTATAAATAATAAAAATCATAATTATTATTATTTTGGAAAGCGGTTAGATGCTTTTATCTTTGAAGCTTAAATAATTATTATACTTTTTTTTTTGTCGTTTAAGAATAATTACTTTGAGAAACATTAAATTAATTTGGCGAAAATAAAAAACGACACTTTATGACATTTAAAACAAGAGAAATTATTAAATTTAATCCAAAATTAATGTAAAAAAGGAATCATGAGGTTGTGAGATGCCTTGATTCGTTGACTTTGACCAAAAAATAACTTTATTTTCTATTTATGAACCATTTAAATATAATAAAAAATGGCTGTTTTATTTTTATTTTTATAAGTTGAATATTTAATTTCATATTTGTATATAAGGAATATTCAAGTATTTATTTATTTTTATTCACTTTAATAGCTTTTGTTTTTTCAACCTTCGGGTTATAAAACATTAATTTTAAACTATACATACATATTAATAACAATACTAAATATTTTTATTATTATATTAAAATTTTCTTTACTGAACAAAAATATAACCGTTCAAACCCATTACTAGTAGATATTGTATCACCGTTGGTCTCGTAGTTATAAAACATGTCTATTCCGGAGTTGTTTTTACAACTTTATAAAAAATGATTATTTTATTATTTAATCAAGGTGAAATTTTACTAAAAAAAAAAAATGATGTCATAAGACTAACTTGATAATTAATGATAATAATTAACTAAGTCAATTTTTTGCTCTATTATTTTAAAAGGATTGATTACTCGTTTTTTTATTTTTATTTTATCAGATTATTTAATATTTTAAACTGTAAATTATTGATGCGACTATTCTTATTAAATTAATCGAAAAACTTAGAAGAGTTAATTTGTACGTTGACTTTTAAAATTTGGATAACGATTTCGTTCTTAGTTCCATATTTATAAAATTTACCATTATTTTCTATATTTTTCCTATGGTTTTTACATTTTTTTTAAAATAATTATTTAAATTTGTAATTTTTTTTTTAAACAAGTTTTAAAAATGGATAATATAATCGAGATTTAAAAAAAAAAAAAAAAACTGGTTATTAAATATCATTTTAAATTTATATTAAATAATTATAAAATTCTTATTTATTTTGAGTGGCGGGCCGGCGGGTGGATCTGGTTAACAAATCCGGCGTCGTCAGGCAGTGCTTTGGAATGCGTACCGGTACAATCAGTAGCCAGTGTTTTTATTTTTTAATTTTTAATTTCTAAATTTATTTTAAATTTTTTTAAAATTGATAATAGCCAGACTCTCCGGTCACCCACGTGATTCATCATTTTCCGAAATTAACTTATACACGTCGCAGCGTTGACTTATTTATATAATACCGGTAGAATCAGTCATCCAATTGTTTTTTTAATTTAATCGATCATTTTCCTAAATTAACCTATCCTCATCCTCATGGCAGCGTTGACTTGGCGCCAAAATTAATCTCACGGTAACTATAAATTTACCTCTCCTTTCTCCTCTCAACAATTTTTTATTTACTGTCCTCCCAAAATCTCCCTCTTCTCCCTTTTTTTCAATTTTTTTAATTTAATTCAATTAAATATTTATTAATTTATAAAAACTACGTGGGATGAAAGTCCAGCTAATTTAGGGAATCATCATGAATTTATAATTAATTAATACTGTCTCCATTGGTTTAAGTCTTTTTGAAGAAGCCCAAAGCAAAGCCAGCCATGAGAGTTTATGCTTAAAGTGGACAATATTATATCATCACGAAGAGTCGTATTCATCTAACATGGTATCAGAGCCATGCCCTAACTTAGCCATGTCAATAGAATCCTCAAATGTCGAACAAAGAACTCCAAAAGAAAAGGAGTCGAGACTCGATTAAGAGGATACATACTTTATTCGAAGGGAGGTGTTAGATGAAAGTCCCACATCGGTTAATTTAGGGAACGATCATGAGTTTATAATTAAGGAATATTATCTCCACTGACTTGCTCAAAATGAATAATATCATACCATTGTGAAGAGTCCTAAACTAAATTTACAATTTTAATACAGTAAAATAAATTTACCATTTTACTCATAAAAAAGGCAAGTATAGAAATTATCTGCTTGATTCGACAGCCACGACCAATAATTGTACAGAAGATATTTTGCTTTTTTTTTTATTTAAAAATTTAATTTTAATAATTAAAAAAAAGATAATATTCGCATTTTTATTTCATTTTTTGTTGCATGGGAAAATAAAAAAATTAATTTTTTTTTCTTTTTAAGTGATTTTTTTTTTTATGGATTCTCCATAGCCATTACCAGCAAGATCGATTAACGCAACAGAGTTGCTGGAGATCGAGAGGAATTGAAAGCCCCACCTCACAGGAACCATTCTCAATTTAATATTCCTTTTTTTTTTTTTTATAATTTTTTTTAATTTTAAATAAATAGATTTAGAATGTTGAATCCTGTTGTTGCTTCTTCTTGTTACTCCGCTCCTCCATCTCCGGCGTCTTCCGATCCCGGATTCATCTTCCCTTCCGCCGCCGCCGCCGCCGCCGCTGCTGCGAGTAAATCTCATTATCTCAATCCTTATCCCATTTCCAATATTCGATACTACTACTGTAAGGAGCATCACGTCAATTCTTTTCGTGGATATCGTTATTTTAATTCTACTTCTTGTTTCCTCCGCCATCCCTGTTCGGGGTCTTTCGTCTGCTCATCCGTCTCTGGATTTTGTTGCTCGCTTAGTAGAACCAGAGGCGGCGACGGCAACGGAAACGGCAACGGCAACGGCGAGCGGGATAAGAAGGAGTCTTCTATGGGTTTAACGGATTTGGATTTGTCGGCTGCTCGGAAGATACCTCGACTGAATGCTGCAGTGCTTGGGGAATCTCTGGCTACAGAAGATGATAACGTCATTTTACCTAGTGATCAATTCTCTTCCCGCGCTCATGTTTCTTCCTACCTCCAGGTTCGTTTCTCTTTACTTGTTTATTTTACATCTGGATTGGATTGCTACGGTGATCATCTCCTTTTAAATTCTATTACTGTTCTTCATCAGTATTTGGAGATGTATCAAAGGTCCATTGAGGATCCTGCTGGATTTTGGTCCGATATTGCGTCTTCCGAGTTCTTTTGGAAAAAGAAATGGGATCAGCAAGTCTACTCTGAGAATCTTGATGTC